AGTGAAGTCACTGAGGGACAGGAGTTGCCTGGCTGTCCTGGTCGACATCCCAGCCCTGGCACTCACAGCCGCGCGGGCAACCACTGAAATTCTCTGGATGTGAAGTCGCTCGTTAGAAATGGAGTGAAGATATCAGTACCTACTTCTAGGGTGTTGGGGGGCTGCAGAGTTAACACACGAACATGCTTAGGACAGGGCCTGGCACAGCCTCAGATATTCCAGGAGATGCAGAGCAGAGCCTCTGGGACTCTACGCTTGAGGCCTCAACCTTGATCCCTTCACTTGCTAATCGTGCAACGCTGGGAAAGTGACTAACATTCTGTGTCTCATTTCCCCATCTCTAAAATGGGAAGAATAACACCAGGTTATTAGAAAGATGAAATTTGATATTCGGAGTTGATATTTGGACATGCTCAGAATAGGGTACCCCATGCTCAATAAATATGAATTGTTCTTATGGCCATCGGCCCCAAGACTTCTCAAACTTTCTATCATTTCTACATTCTGGTGATTTTATCTCCCTCTCCTGTCATGTCACTGGGACACGTCCCAGCTCTACTCCCCTAACCCCATGCTCCTGAAACAAAATCTGAATTCTCACTGGGACCCTCCTTTGTCCCCACCCCCGCAGCATCTTCTGCCCTTCGTGCAACTCAATCTCCTTCCCATGGCCTCGGAGCCTCTTCCCCGGGCCTGGCACCTGCCATCCCCCCACCTCTCTCCTCTGCTGATTTCCACCACAGGCTCTGTGCTGGGTTCTTGAGCTGATGTTCTTCCTGCCTGTGCCCTTCCTGGGGGACCATCCCCACCCCCACCTCCAGCACTCACCTCACACCCTTGCTACACCTGGTAACTCAGTCATCCTCTGAGACACAGCTCAGGGGGTCACTGCTCCCAAGCCAGCTTCCCTCTTGGGGGAAGGCCCAGATAAGCTCCTTGGGTCAGCAACCTGGGCCCCTCTTACTGTCCCACTACTACTCTTGGTTTGAGGTGGAGACCTCTGGTCCTTCATTTGGCATGTTCACATCTAGTAGGGCCTGGCTCTCTGCACACATTGTTTCAAGAAAAGCAGTGAGACGACCTTGCGCAATGACATCACACTTGGCCACGGCGCTGGTTGGAGTTTCGCACGTTGACTATTCTTTCCTGTTGTAAAGGAGTCTGGAAGTACTGGCCAGGGAATTTGCTACAGAAATGAAATTCCTAGTTTAGAAAATGATTAACAACTTTTTAAAACATTGATTTTTGTAGTGCATCAGTCCAAAAGATTATTTTAGGTCTGCCTTTTATTTATTCCTGGCCACATGGGCAGCTCAGGCAGTCCAGGCTGGGTTCCAGGCCAGGAAAGGCCACAGCACTATCTGTACCTCTGAGATTCAGCTGGCTTTAGTCATCCTCTAGGCATTCTTCCTACCCAATACCTGTAAGGATAACATTAAGATAGTAGCTGACACATATTCAAGTGTTTGCCACGTAACAGGCCCTGTTCTACCATTTTATATGTAGTAACTCATTAATGTCTCAAGGCAACTCAATGGGCAGAGATTTCTCTCTGTTTCACTGTTTTGTTTTTTTTTTTTTTTGGGGGGGGGGGAGGAGGTTTACTGGGGATTAGGGGTGTTTAACCACTGAGCCACATCCCCAGTCTTTTTTATTTTGAATTTTTAGAATTCTTGGTGCATACTGAGTATTACACTCAGGGTCACTTGGCCACTGAGCCACATCCCCAGCTCTTTTTTAAATCTTATTTAGAGACAGGGTCTCACTGAGTTGCTTAGCACCTGCCTTTTTGCTGAGGCTGGCTTTGAACTCATGATCCTCCTGCCTCAGCCTCTCAAGCCACTGGGATTATAGACATGTGCTACCGTGCCCGGCTCTCTGTTTTTAATTGATGTTTTTACAGTACCTAGATAGATGTGTGCCTTGCACAAAGTGAGGACTCATTGGCATTTGTTAAATTGATGAATGGGTGGAATGACACTCCTCAGTCTGCAGAAACTCACCTGTGTTCTGTCTTCATGGGTAAATGGAATCAGGGTAGCTGAGCACCTTAGACACCCTTCATCCCGCCACGCCACCAGGACCACACTGCGCTGTTAAGAATGCAATTCCCATGTGTCACTGCCGAAAAATCTTATCTGATCTTTTTATGCAAAATAACTTGTAAATTAAATCCAACCCTCTTGTTGACTTTGTGGCTTCTGAGAGACTGTCCACCTTCCTCCTGTACCCTTCTGTGGTAGGGGATCTGCACTTATTTTCTCTTCACCTGTTGTTTGAGTGGATGTAACTTCTAAACAGGTACCTGGCGTGTCTAAAGACCTCACCTATTAAATAGAAGGGCTTACCAATGAGGAGTAAACTTGCCACAGGGATCTTTATTTCCTAATTTAGCTTTTGGACCAGTCTGAGCCTTCTGTTGCAGATTTCTTCAGACACACTCCTCCTGAACTCTGACACCCTGAACAGAGAAGCTTCTGAGACTCTCTTTCAAACACATACAAGGGTCCAACAAGGAGTCAGAGGTAGCCAGTGCACCTGTCTGTCTGGCAGATGAAGGCTTCTGTAGCAGGACATTTGCCCGGCAGATTGAGTCAAGTCACAGACCAAGGAAAGAGTAGTGATACCATAGCATAGATTAAACTGTATAAATATGATTGGGGCCACTGACAGGCATGTTGTTTAGAATGAAAAGAGCCTGTTATTTATTTTATTTATCTATATGTGGTGCTGAGAATTCAACCCAATGCCTCACACATGCTAGGCAAGTGCTCTGCCACGGGGCTACAGCCCCACCTCCAAAGAGCACATTATTTAGGACAAGAGGGCACACTGGGTTAAAATCCTCTCTCTGCCCTAATATATGTTAAGTATACAACCTAGGTTATATAAATTAAATCCAACCCTCTCGTTGGATTTAATGGTGGGGCTGAAGGCCTACAGCACCTGGGAGAATGTTGGCTCCCTTGAATGTAAAATGGGGTTGTGATATCCTATTTCATAGGACTGTTGTAAGGACCAAGCTAAATGACAATGCATAAGCCCTTTTTAGTTGCTTAATGCATTAAGTTTTTTTCATCCAAGTGCTGGTTAATAGAATCCAACCCTCTTGTTGACTTCATGGCTTTAGAGAGATTCTGTCTGCCTTCGTCATGCACCCTGAAATGCATCTTGTCAGTTTGCTCCAGTTTGATTTCTGTGTTCTGTGGTTGAAACACAGAAGCCTTTGCTCTTTGCTGTAGGACTTGGCTCCATGTAGTATCTTTTGCTGTGTAGGTTTCATTGGAGAAACAGGATGTTCAGACTCTAGAAAATTTTCTATGGATGGATGAAAGTCAATACTTTGAGCCCAAATTGACTTCTGTCTTTACGGAAATAAAAAGGCAAGCCACAGATGGGAGAAAATGTTTGCAATACATACATCCACCAATGGACTGCTAGCCAGAACATACAAAGAAGCTAGTCAATTAAAAATAGAATGAGCCGGGTGCAGTGGCACACGCCTGTCATCCCAGTGGCTCCAGAGGCTGAGACAGGAGGATCACGAGTGCAAAGCCAGCCTCAGCAAAAGCAAGGCCCTAAACAACTCAGTGAGACCCTGTCTGTACATAAAATACAAAATAGGGCTGGGGATGGGGCTCAGTGGTCGAGTGCCCCTGAGTTCAATCCCTGGTACAAAAAAAAGAAAAGAAAAGAAAAGAAAAAGGATGAGCAAGCCAATAGGAATTAAGCAGACAGGAAAGGAAGATAAATGAATGATCAGGCACAGACACAGGAGAAGATGGTCATGATCATTAATCATCAGGGAAATGCAACTTCAAAACCAAGGCAATACAATTATATACTGCTAGAAGGACTAACACTAAAAAGACGCAAAGCCAACCTTTGTCAGGGATGGGAGCAACTGGGATTCTCATGAGCTGCAGGTGGGAAGGAAAAATCACACAACTGATATGAACAGTGGTGTGGCAGTTTCTTCAAAAGTTAAAATGCAGCTGCCATATGACCTGCCTGTTTCACTTCTACATGTTTACTCCAGAGAAATGGCAGGAGACTGAGACAGGAGGATCACAAGTTCAAAGCCAGCCTCAGCCTCTTAGCAAGGCCCTAAGCAACTTTGCCCTCCACACACAAAGTGTCACGAGTTGTTCATGATTCTCATGTTTTAATTCTGCTTCTGCTGGGAGTTCTGGCCAGAATGATGGCCCCAAAGATGTCCACATCTGAAGCCCTACAACCTGTGAATATGGCACCTCACAGGGGAAAACAGACTTGGAGATACAATTGAATTGAGGACCTTGATGGGTAATAGAGGTGGGTCCCGTGTAGTCACAGGGCTCCTTGTACATGAGAGGAGGCTAAGAAGGAGTGACAAGGCTTCCAGGGGTTCCTCACCTCCTCACCTAGTGGAAGTGAGGCAGCTTGGGAGGGCAGGTGGGTGTAGTGACCTCGAAGACAGAAGGAGAAGGAAAGTCACAGAAGGTGGCCGCCAGGAGCTAAGGTAGGTAACGAAGGGATTCTGCCCAGAGCTTTCAGAAGGAAGGCAGCCCTTAAAATAAGTGCCAGGGAGTGGGACAGCTTGGTCACGCGGCGATTCCATTCCTAGCCTTTTTAGGAACCTCCTTACTGCTCTCCAAAGTGGTTGTACCAATGTGTGCACTGTGTGGTGGGCAGGAGAGAGTGACCTGGAGTGCGACCCTGTGCTGTAGACTCAAAGAAAAAGAGAAGCAGCATCACGCTGGGACAGGGGCCCCTGTGAAGGAGGCCTGTGACTGGACTGGCGGGAAAGCAGCTGGGCAGGGCGTGAAGGAGACATTTTTCCAAGGGAGAATGGTGTGTGGGAGACTCCTGGCTGCAGCTTTGCTGTGGTACAAGGGCACCTCTGAAGGGCATGGGAAGCCTTGGGTGGTGACCCTAGCGTTCTGATGTCCCTGGACGCGCCCCTTCCCGTGGCTGGCGGCACCAGGACGTCCATCACACCTCTCTGCTCTATCTGGCAGGTACGCGGGGGCCCTTCTGGATGAGGACATTTTCCAAGGGAAGGAGCTGGTCAGCAGCCGCGTGCTGCAGGCCCTGGTGGCGGGGCTGAAGGCCTACAGCACCTGGGAGAATGTTGGCTGCCTGCAGGACTGCCGCGAGAGCACCGGAGGCATGGTGAGCGCGCGCCGTCCCAGGGGCCCCAGGAGTGCGCGTGCGCAGGGCAGCCCCGGGCTGGGCAGAGCCGTCTCCGAGCCCCCTGGAATTCTCACTCTGGGTACTTACCTGTGAGCCCTGAGGTCTGTGCGTGTCCCCCTCGTGTGATGCTGCCAGGACCGACGCAAACCCATCTGTAAAGTGCTTGGCCCCTGTGCCTGGCCCACGAAGCCCATGCTACATGCCAATCAACTTGGTGGTGGTCTACAGGCCAAGGAGCGTTCAGACGACCAAAGCCATGCTCCTGTGTTTCAGGCCTTTGCTGAGAAATAGGAAATGACCCCCAAGGGTTTCTTGCCCTAGAAGGAGGCAGAAGGCAGAGAATTTAGACACTGCCAGGCTTCAGACTGGATCGTGCAATGAGGGGTGAAAAAGCCCAGCGTGAATCTCTGGGAATGGACAGGGCTCCAAGAACAGCTAGGATGGGTGCCTTGTCTAGCACAATTCAAAGCAGAGGAACCCGCAAGTTCCAGGACTTGCCATTGTGGAGCCCAGAGCTGGTGGGAAAGTGGACCCAAAGTGACTCTGTATGGACTGGACTGCAGGCTTGGGGTTGGGGACCTGGGACTGGAGGCCAGCAGGACTGCAGGCATCAGCTTGGCAGGACTGGGGCTCCGCCCAGATGGCAAGCCCATATAGGTGACCCCTGGGGAGACATCCCTTTGTCTGAACCTGGCTGGATGCAGAAGCCCCTCCCAGAGGGGGAGGGTTGAGGGAGGTCCCTGCTGGGCTTTCTTCTGAGCTTGGTGCTGAGCATGGTTGAACATGGCCTAGACACAAGCTCCAGATGACAAAAGAGGAGGAGAGTTTTGGCCTCAGTAGAGGAGAGGTCAAGGGCAGTTGTGGAACGTGAAGGGGAAAGAAAGGTTTCTGGAAAGTCCACACCCTGCTCAATACATCAGAGTTGGGCCCACAAGGGGCAGGGCGGGGGGTGAGGAGCAAAGCTCTGTGGGAGCCTGAGGGCTTCTCTCCGGGGACAGTGGTGTTGGCTCATCTGAAGGACAGCAGGGCCGTTTCTCAGAACATGGCAAAGTGTTCGCGTGGGATGTCCCATGGGAGTTCATGTGGCAAAGAAGGAGGATGTAGAATAAAGTGGCCCTTGGCACTGAGGTGCAGGTGCAGCCAGGACAAGGGCTGCCAGACCCCCCTTAGTGACGGGTGTCCACCTGCAGTCTGGGAGCCAGCTGTCCCTTCAAACATAGGCTGGCAGCACTTGGGGACAGAACCCAGGGGTTCTGGGGTAGAATGAGCTTATGTTGGCAGGAGGGAGGTGAGACCTGAAGTGACCCCTCAGGCAGGGGCAGTCCTCATGGGGAGGGTCAGGACACTGGGGGGCAGTGAACAGGTCCCTCAACAGGGTCTGACTGGTGCCTCCTGTAATCTTCTGGTTGTCTAGTCCTGCTCCCTGGGTCATCCTGTCTGCTATGGAATGTGGTTTGTCCCCACCCAAACTCATGGGGCTTGATTCCCCATTGTAATGGTGTTGTGGTGATGGGGACAATAAGAGGCATTAGAGGTCATGAGGGATCAACCCTCGTGTGCATAGATTCATGGTTTTTGTTTTGTTTTGGTTTTAGTTGTAGTTGGATACAACACCTTTATTTCACTTATTTATTTTTACGTGGTGCTGAGGATCGAACCCAGGGCCTTGCACATGCCAGGTGAGGGCTCTACCACTGAGCCCCAGCCCCAGATTCCTGGGTTTTAAGAGCCCTGTTAGTTCTCAGAGACTGGTTGTGCAGTTGGCTGTTGCCTCACTGTAACCAACATGCCTGACATGAACAGCTTACAGGAGGGAGAGTTTATTTTGGTTCCTGGTTTGAGACGTTCATGGTCAGCCAGTTCCACAGCTCTGGGCCGGAGGGGAGGCAGGACACCGTGGCAGAAGGGCATGGAGGAGGAAAGCAGCTCTGGACACGGCAACCAGGAGCCCCAGAGCTCTGCTCACCAGGGACAAAATGCAAACCTGAAAGGCACAGCCCCGGGACTCCCTCCAGCTGCATCCTACCAACCTACAGTTACCCCCAGTTATCCATATCAGTAGATTGGCCCACTGATGAGGTTTCCCCCTCATAATTTGATCAGTTCACCTCTGCATTGTCTCACACGTGAGCTTTGGGGGGACATCTTATCTAAATCTAACACTGGAACAGGTCTTGCAGGACTGGATTGGTTATTGCAAGAGCAGGTTGTTATAAAGCAAATTTGGTTTCCTCAGCTTCCTGCAATACGTCCTCTCTTGCCATGTGACCACTTTTCTACCTGTGGTACTCAGTCATCTTGTGCACACTTCTGCTATGGCATGGCATGTTGAACATAGACAGAAGACCCTCGCCAGAGGTGCATCAGATGAAGCCACTAGCTTTCAGATTTTCAACCTCCTAAACTCTGATCTAAATAAACCTCTTTTCCTTATAGAATACCCAGCCTCTGGTATTTTATGATAGCAACAGAAAATGGTTCAAGAATTTGCTGCATCAAGTCACAGTACTCAGAAAAATGCATTTGCCTGTTTATTATAAAGGATTTGACAAAGGATACAGATGAACAGTCAGATGAGGAGATACATAGGATGATGTCTGGATGGCTCCTGGACACAGAAATTTCTGTCCTGTGGTTTTGTGGGTGCACCACCCTCCCACTATGTGGATGAGTTCGATGGCCTGGAAACTCTCTGAACCACAATTTTAGTGGTTCTTATGGAGGCCTGACCACACAAGCATGATTAATTATTCAAAATCTCCAGCCCTGTCCCCTTCCTAGAGGATGGGAAGGAGGGAAGAGAGTTCCAAGCATCTAATCCTGGCTTGCTCTTTCTAGTGACCAGACCCCACCCAAAAGTTTTCCAGCAGCTCAGGAGAAGTTGCCTCCTTTGGACAAAAGATGCTTCTAATACCCAGGAATTCTCCAGGGGATTTAGGAGCTCTTAGGTCTTTCCAGGGTTAAAGACAAAATATTAAAACCAAAGGTGCTCCTCAGCCCTGTCACTCAGGAAATCCCCAGGGACTTAGGAGTCGTGGCAGAAACTGGGGAAGAAGAACAAATGTGTATTTATTGTGCTAAATTAGGCGCTCTGTGCCAGGACCAGGGCTGGGGACCAGATGTTTTTTCCTTTTGACACACAGGCAGGGACACCTGCACACAGGAGGGGTGTGGCCCATCAAGGGACACGGGATAGGCACAAGCTAAGTCCAGGAGAGGTACAGGGGAGGCCAGGGCTGAGGACCCTGGAGAGGGGACGGACAATGTCTGCACAGTCGCCTGTGACAGGTGCTCGGGGGACCTGGACCCAGGGCCACGGCATGAGCTGATGGTGTCCATTGAGATGAAGCCTTCAGCAGCGGCCGGGCCCACGGCAGGTGCCAGCCATCTCAGCTGTGCTCATCACGCCCTTTCCTAACGAGGAAACCGAGTCTGAATTGAGGGCAGCAAGGGCAGGGACCTTGTCCTTGGTCGCCACAGCCTCGGGCTCACTGCAGTGGGGAGGCTTCAGTCCACTGAGGACTGAGTGGCAGACGGACGGGTGCAGGGACAGAATGACGGGGTGAATGAATACCCAGGTAGCCGGTCCCCTCAGCCCTGGAACTCGGCATCAGTCCACGGACCTATCCATCTGCTCTTCTCTTATTTTATTATTATTATTCATCCTGAACACCCTGTTGTCAGGACTTCATTGTTACTTTTTGGAGAGAAAGAACACATGGTGGTGTCCACTGGCCCTTCATCTCCAGAGCCAGGGCGCCCACCTTGACGGCTCTTGGCCAGGGACAATTTTTGTTTATTTGCTTATTTTATTGGTTCTTCTTAGTTATTCATGACAGTAGAATCCACTCTGATAAAATTATACAAGCATGGAATATGTCTTATTCTAATTAGGACCCCATTGTTGGGGTTGGGCACGGTGATGGGGTTCACTTAGGTATTTTCATATGTGTACACAGGAAAATTGTTAGATGTATTTATTCTTGAGCTGGGGATATAGCTGAGTTGGTAGGGTGCTTGCCTCACATTCACAAGGCCCTGGGTTCAATCCCCAGAACCACAAAAACACAAAAAAAGAAAACCCATTCAAATGTATTTATTCTACTGTCTTTTCTATTCCTACCTGTCCTCCCTTCCTTTCTTTCCCCTTTGACTAATCTGCTGATCTTCTCTTCTTCCTTCCCCCTTATTGTGAGTCAGCAACTGCATATCAGAGAGAACATTTGGCCTCTGGTTTATGGGGACTGGCTTATTTCACTTAGCACGATACTCTCCAGTTCCGTCCATTTACTGGCAAATGCCATGATTTCATTCTTCTTTATGGCTAAGTAATACTCCATTGTGTGTATGTACCACATTTTCTTTATCCATTCATCTGTTGAAAGGCATCTAGGTTGGTTCTGTAGCTCTGCTATTGTGAATTGAGCTGCTATGAACATTGATGTGGCTGTGTCACTGTAGTGGGGACAAATTTTTATGTCCTGTGTCTAGTGTAGGAGCTGGGCTTGAGGAAGAGGAGAGGATGGGAAACTGTTGTACGATTTACTTCAATCTGAGTGTATCTGGCACTTACGTTTTGCCTCTACTCTCACCATTCAGCCCTGTGCAGTCCTGCCTCTCCCACCTGCTGACTTTAATGTTTGTTGCTGCTGTCCAACGTGAACACCATGGGGAGGGGCAGCTTTTTTACTGAATAAAGCATATTTAAAAATCACAGTTATTATATTAGTTTTTATAAAAAGAATACACCAGGTGTGATGGAGCTCACCTGTAATCCCAATGACACAGGAGGACCACAAGTTTGAGGCCAGCGTCAGCAATATAGTGAGTTCCTAAACAACTTAGAGAGACCCTGTCTTAAGATAAAAAATAAACAGGGCTGGGGACATGGCTCAGTGGTTAAGCACCCCAGGGTTCAATCTCTGGTACCAAAAACAAACAAACAAAAAACCCAAAATGCCCATTATAGAAATTTTTTT